CTCTAATGTGTTGAATAGCGTTCCTCCAAAATCCATGTCAGAACAGTGTCTGCGAACATTGCTGCTGTCTTAGTTACCTTTTCTACTGCTGTGATTAAAAAAACAAAAACAAAAACAACAAAACACCATGACCAAAAGCAACTTAGAAAGCAAAGGGTTTATTTGGCTTACAGGTCACAGGTCACAGTCCATCACTGAGGGAAGCGAAAGCAGGAACCTGGGGACAGGAGCTGAAGCAGAAACCATTGGGGAGTGCTGCTTACTGGCTTGCTCCCCTTGGCTTGCTTATCTAGGTTTCTTATATTCCCCAAGGGCACATGCCCAGGGGTGGTACCACCACCAGCAGATCTGGTTTCCCCACATCCATCATCCGTTTGCTTATCCACAGGACACTCTGATGTGGGCATTTTCTTAACTGAGGTTCCCTCTTCTCAGATGACTGTAGCTTGTGTCATGTTCACAAAACAAACGAGCAAATACAAATACACACAACCAACACAGTGGCCTTATCTAAAACACTGCTTTTGCAAGTGTAACCAAGTCAAAGGGCGTGCTCTGTAAGGACAAGGCTGTAAGAGCAGGTAGCAAGCAGAAGGCCACACACTAATGAACAGAAGGTCCTAGACCTGCATTGAAGAGCCAAGGAACATGAGGGACAGCTAGAAGAGGCAAGGGAAATTCTCTCTGAAGTTCATGGGAGGAATGGCTCTGCCACCACCTTAATCTTCATCTTCTAACTTCTAGGATCGTGGGATGATACATTTCTAGTGTTTTCAGCCAGAAGTCTGTGGCAGTTTGTTAGGATCACACCAGAAAGCTAATTTAATGTCCCGCACACATCTAGTCATTTACCTTGTCGTCTGGGTAGGATTATTTATTAAAGAACATCTACAACACTGTACATTTTATCTATTCCAACTATCACATATTAGATACACAATTTCAATTAATTAAAATGAATAGGCAAAGAATACAATGAGGTAAACATTGCGACATTTAAAACTGGCCTTGTGTAAGAAACAAGTGCCAAATGTTGGTACTAACATCTTTGCCCCCATCTCAAACAAGAAACAACAGTGAACTGGGTGAATATTCCATATTATATGCATATATTACTACTGATCTCTGAAGAGGCAAAAGTCTTGATGTTCATTGATACGGACTTAACTTGTTCAAACCTGCTCTAAATAAATAAATAAATAAACCCGAACAATTCTTAATGGTAACAATCATTTCACAAGCACAAAATCAGTTGCTAGCATCTCATAGTATAAATGGATGAGTTGTGAATATGCAGCCTTCCAACCTATTAAGCAGTTTTTCTAAAGCTCAGTGGGAAATAGTGTGTCAGGGAATAAGCTGTGTTGTGAGGTAAGGTGGTCAAGGGTCAACCTGTACACAGTAAAACACTACTAAAGTTAAAAGTGCTGTAAACTATGGAGACCCCAAGAGAACGGGACAAAAGCAAAGATCCAAGATACCTAGCTGCAAACTCCGTATTCTCCTGATTCTGAGACCACACAAAGACCGATCAAAATAGAATCCAAGAATATTTAAAAAAAAAAAAAAACATTTCATCAAACCGTCTCCAAAAAGGCTGGGGAAAATTACTGAAAGCCTTTTAAACTTATCCCCTGAAGCTTTCCCACAGAAAACTGGCTGCATCATTACACAGCTTGCAGGCAAAGAAAGGAATCAGTCAGTTTCGGTCTACAGATTCACTCAAACACCATGGAGCATCCTGAACTCAAAATGAATCAAGGATGTTTCTTGTGGGGAATGAGAGGGCATTAGCAGCTTTATTTGTAAATCACCCTGGTCCTGAATTAGCAGTTAAGAGACGGAAGGCTGGGCATGGTGGTAGATCTTTCAGAGGACTCAAGCCTACATCTTCTCAGCCAGGGCCAGCCCCAAGCTAGAGTAACTTTCCTGGTCTTATGCAAACCAAAGGCGAAAGCACACAGAACCAGGAATTTTCTACTTGTGGGTGGTGTCTGGAGAGAATTAAAAACTATTTGAGTTTTCTCTGGGCTACAACAAAAGATAAGCAAAAAGTCCTTTTGGATTTTGTGGGATATGACAGATTCCAAGTCCTTTAACAGCCTCACTCTTGTAGGAGCCTTGGCCTTGAAAGCAGGGATGAGCAGCTTCTGGCCAGATGAAGCTGGCCTCGTAATCAACCCCAGCTATTCAACTTCCAAATTACACTGGGCCTTTCACGCTATTTGTTTATGAGCATAACCATCAGGAATCAGAGTTTTAGATAAGGAGTGGAGAGAGCTGAGGACAGCCGTGTACTGTGCACTTGGCCTGTGTGGAGGGAGTACTTTTTGTTCACAAATATGTCAGAAACTCAGAAGGCAAAGTGCATGCTGCTGCAACCGGGTTTGAACAACTGAGAAAAGATCTCTAAATTCTTAAGTTGGCACAGACCAAAGAGCTTGCTCAAGTTTGTCATAGGGATAACAACCAATTGGGAGGCGTTTTACACAGCCACACAGCTAATACATGAGTTTTGGAGCTGTCTGCATTTCTGGCTGTAATTCTGGAAACAGGGTTTTGCACACCTAGTGGAGGTCTCTTCTGTTGCCTGATGCTATTACAAATCATCATTGTTAAAACTGAAGCCCAGGCTGGAGAGATGGCTCAGTGGTTAAGGGCACTGTCTGCTCTTCAGGAGGATCAGGGTTCAATTCCCAACACCCACATGGCAGCTCACAACTGTCTAACTCCAGTTCCAGGAGATCTGACATCCATGGAAAAACACAATGCAGATAAAGTTAAAACAAAACAAAACTGAAGCCCATGGGGGCTGGCTCATTGGTTAACAGCCCTGGCTGCTCTTCCAGAGAACCCGGGGTTCAATTCCCAGCACCCACGTGGCAGCTCACGACCATCTGCAACTCTAGTTCCAGGGGATCTATCTGATGCCTTCACACCAATGTACATAAAATAAAGTTAAATAAATTATACAAAACAAAACAAAACTGAAACCCATTTAACAGAACCCAAGTATCACCTCCGCCCCTAGCCTGACTGGAGTGCTTACCCACACTACACTAGGCAATTGGCCTCTCATTTGTAGAGAACCTGGAACAATAAACATTTCTCTCAATGGTATTCATCATTCACTCGTTTGTAAATTAAGACCCAAGTACAATTCAGACAGAATGTCACCACCTTGGTTGAGTGCAATGGTGGCACTTTAACTTCAGTATTTCGTGCTACTGAAATATTCTGACAACCAGATTTCCCTCAAGAGCCCTCAGTGAGCACCTGTCTACCACTGTGCAGTGTGTGCAGGTGTGATGTGGAACAGAGTGTGGCCAGCACAGTCCTAACACATTCCCTTTGGTATTGAAACCCGAATACGGTTGTTCTTCTTTGCATCATTGCGGCATGGGCTTTTACACAAGAACCTGGGGATGAGATCACTCTAGAGAGGCAGACAAAATTAGGACCAACACCCTCACAGCTCAGAGTCCAAGAACTCAACCAATTCTAAAATTTAACAACGCAGAGGTGACAGCAAACCTTCCAAACACTAATTCAGCACAGACACTGGAGACACTACAATCACACTGGCTGGACACTCCCAGATGGAAACAGTAACAATACAACTTGCCACTTTTTTTCAAAAAAAAAAAAAAAAAGGGAATAAGTAAAAAATCTACTAATTTTCATGAGTGAATTCTAATAAGGGATTTCTGCCACAGGAGTTGCAGTTTAGCTTCATGTGGTCAGATGATGTCATAAATGCCAAAGAGAGTTGAACTGGTAATGCATGAAATTGCTTGCCTAAAGGGTTTAGCCTTTTTTAAGATGGCATTGAAGTAAATGAGATGGGTGTTGTATTCTAAGACCTGTGGTGAAGCTGAGTTTCAGTTACTGGAAAGAACGATAAACTACATTACTGTTGTGATCATAAGGCCTTCCTAATAAATGCTTGATGGATTGATACACTATCAACATTTTGTATCACATAATGTGCTTTTAAACTAAAATCCCACACCTTGAATGAATAAAGCAGAACTTGCCACTGGGATTTGCTCAGCAGGGTCTTGTCTGTAAGGATGCTCACCTTACAGACTCAGCAGCCTACTGTCTGGATCAGCTGCTCAGGGCAGTAGCAATGTCTGGGTATTCCAATCCAGATTCCCAACATGCACTGGAGGTCGGGAATTACACCTATCACTATCCCGATGGAAAATTCCCAGCTGAATACACATAAAACTTTCATTAAAAAAACAAGTTTGGGAGCATGTTTGACATCACACATACAGTTTTAACTCATTTTTGATTACTCTTTTGGAGTGTTTATAAATATATAGTCTCAAAATAATTGCTATTCTCAGTCTTTTCTATACGTAAGATACATATTATATTTTTTACGTCCATTTAATTACAACATGCAATTTACAATGCCTGGAATTATAGAGGGACATGAAACACAAACACAGCTCTGTCCAGTAATTATGAATTCTTGGGTAAGGACTGGACAATGATTCAATTCCTTAATTTCGCAAACAAGTTCACAGCAACACACAGAGCCCAAGTCCATTTTTTGGCTTGCTTGTATTCTAATAGGTCTGTCTCCATTTGCAAACACTTACTGGCTAGCCACTGACACACACATTTTCCATCTATCATATCAAGATACTGATGAGGAATGTAATCCCTTTTGATACCTAAGTCACATGTCAACCATGTGTGTGTGTCATGCTGGCAGTGAGCTGGATGCGTGAAGCATCTGCTTTGAAGAGATTTTCTCTTGGGGTTCCCCACTATACCTTCCACTGGAACTTCAGGCTAATCTTGAACAGTGTCAGAGTCCAGCAAGCAGACTTTTAATGTGTGAGAAAATCAGTATTTGGCAAATGTCCCATTTATCACCTTACTGACAAGCATTTTACAAAGAATAGTGAGGAGGACAGGCATTTGTCCCTGCCTGGAACTCATAAAAACACAGGGGCTTCCAGCAACCTTAATGTAGAGGAAAATCAATTATCTCTCTCTGCATTGTTAGCCATCTCTTGGCGACTATTCATCTTACGTGTAATGATGACCAATATCCGTCGAATGGCAAGCAGACGCTCTTTCAAGGAGGCCATGCCGAGAATGGCCAGCTGAGCCTTGCGTTCCAACGGCAACACCGCCAGAATCCACCAGGACCATGCAGGACCACTAGAATTGCTCTGTGAAATACAGGAGTGAATAAACAGAATTAATGCCTATATCACAGGCTGTTCCCTAATCTAGCCTTTTGTTTTAAACAACAGATATGGGCAAGAATGTCCCAACTTCTGTTGTAGGGATAGGCCACAATTCATTAGGCCCTTAAGAAGCAGAGTTCCTGTTGAATATGATTTGCATTCACAAAGGTGCAAGGAAGGGGCACAAAAGGAAAGACTTGCCAAGAGAAACTGGTTCTACAGAGAAACTCTGTAGAATATTCTGTCTCTGTTTCCCTAAGTGTCCAGATATCGACGTACAACCATCAGAAAGAAAGATCATAAATACTACCTCCAGGTACCAACGTTGTGTGCCATTGCTTTTGAAGTCTTAAGTGGACTAGCTAAAGCATAATGTTACAAAGTATTACAGTGCTACAAAGGTCAAAAGTACTTAGACAAGTTTGAGTGGCTCAGGAAAGTCAAACTTAAAGCCAATGTGGCAAAGTGTGTGTAACATACATACGCACACATCATTATATGTGCTAACTATCATGAATTTATACATACGGATAACATATGTAACTTTTGTTTAGGTACATGTGTATACACACATTAGCCTTTATTTCGAGTAATCAAATGAGCATTTGGGACTGAATTCTAAGCAAACGCTGATTCTCAACTGTTTTCGTTCTTCTTGGTGCTGGAATGAAGACATTTAAGCCTAAGCCTGTCTGTTTACAAGGTCTGGATTCTCCTCTATCCCCTTTAAAGAGGTACTAACCAGGAGCCAGGGAGAATGGACCCCAGTGGCTGTAGCTTTCGAGTTGGATAATTTCACTGGAGAATTAGGAACAATTCATCAACCAAAGCTCAAAGGGGCATCTCAAGTCACTGTCAAGCAGATCCTACCTGCCCTTCAGAGGTAACCTATAACCCAGATTCTGAGAAACACTATGGGACTCAAACTCTCTCCTTTCCTTATTCCACAAGATCGGGAAAATAGCATGTTCAGTGAGAAGCACCTCACAAAAAAATATTCCCCCTTAACTAAAATCCTCATCATTGTCAGAATAACAGTCTCCAAAGGTCTCAGATCATTGGTAGAATAACAGTCTCCAAAGGTCTCAGTGTCTGATTCCTAAGGCCTGTGACTCTGCCACTGTAAGTGGAAATGGAGGACTTTGAGGATGTGACCAACTTACTACAATGGGAAGATTATCCTAGTGAACCTATGTAGCCACTTGGATCCTTCCAGGACTGTGGCCTGGGGGATATGGGACATAGAAAGGTTAGAACTGGAGCACTGCTAGCTTAACAATGCCAAGGCTAGCATTTCAGAGGCCCACAATGCCAGAAGCAGTCTCTCCTATAACCACCAGAGGGCGATGTGCACTGCCACTGCTATGTCAAGCCTGGCGAAATGCCAGAGGGCTTCTCACCCATACAGCTGTAAGATAATAATGCACAGGTATTGCTGCAGCCACCTTGTTAGTGACAACATGTTACAGCAGTGGTAGGAAGCAAGTCCACCCACCAATTAGAAATTAATTTGAATTGACTAGTCAAACTACTCTCCTTTTGAATCTGAGGTACAGTACAGTGGGAAACGGGAGTGGTAAGAAGGGGATGGCCAGGAGGACTGACTGGGAGGGGATTTTGGAATCTAAAGCAGGGCCTCCTAAACTTTCTCCACTCATGACATTTTTAAACTAAGAATTTTTTTTACAGTTCTAGGCACAGAGGTACCCTGTGCCTACTAATACATAAAATTTATATGGAAAATTTACTAGTGATAAATCGTAAATATATCTATTCTTAATTCTTTTATATACATGTAATTGTACCATTTATTAAAGATAAGTAAATCCAACACTAATTAGATGCATGTGTTGTTTATTTTTACATACAAAAAACAAATCTTGGTTGAGTATGAAATACTGCAGGACATAGAGCATTATTGATGTTTTTCAAAACCAGATGATCGTCTGAATTTACATAGAGTGTTGAGAGTGCCAATTTCCTATAAATACAGTGTACTTATAGTCATTTCAGAAAATGCTGGAAATATTGTCCTAATCCCAAGTCAAAATTCATTGATTTTTTTTCAGTGAAATTCAAGCTAGCAACTGTCCTAGTTAGTGTCACCTATTGCACTGACCCAGGCTGGAGTCGTCTGAGGGAATCTCAGTTGAGGAGTTACCCAAGTCAGGTTGGACAGTCTCTGAAGCACTGTCTTTGACTGCTAATTGATGTGGCTGGGCTCAGCCCACTGTGGGTGGTTCTATCTATCCCTAAGCAGGTGGCCTTAGCTGGGTCCAGTCCTCTGTGGGTGACTCTATCATTTTTTCTTAACCTTCACATTTACTTATGTGATTCCCCACAAGGAGTTGCAATCTACGTTTGAGAAACTTGTATTTAAAGCACTTTTCTGAGTTGGAGAAATAGCATTGAGGAAGAGGGTGAAAGAAAAATGCACACAAGAGCCAGAAGAGAGAAATGGATGGGGAAAGACAAAAGACAGTCCACTTTACAGTAAACATGTTGAAAGTGGGTCCTCCCCGCTACATACAGGATTTCTGCAATCCAGAGCACCTATATACAGCTGGAAGGAACTATATACTTCGCCACGATTCTAAACCTGAGCAGCTCTGTCATTAAACAGTAAGGCATTGGTGCTTAGATAAACTCCACACATTGTCCAATTGTATCGGGAAGGGCCAGCTGCAACAAGAACTACTGGTCAGTCAACAAGGAACAGAAGGCTTCCAAGGTCATGACCACTGTGGGGTTTTCTCTTGAGGCAGTCAACGTCTTGCTTGGTATGTGCAAGGCAGAGATGCAAAACATGGTGTGTTGTGGCCAATGGAATGATTTTTGTTTGAGGTGATCTTCACGTGGGGCTAGAAAACATTAATTTATCCACTCTGTGACACCACACAGGCTGTCCTATTACCTTCTTTGAGCAGCTAGCACACGAGCTGGCTTATGATCACGATGGCGTACAGTGCTGTGCTGCTGGATTTCCCACCAGAATATGACCTCATCACAGTACCGAGGGAAAGAGCAGCATTATGAGAGAAGGGAGGAAAGCCTACCTGTGGCTCAGGTTCCCTCTCTGGCATCGACCCGAAATGGCTTAGGATTTGTTTTTTCATGTGATCCTGGAGAGAGGCAAACCAGGAAACAGACTGCTGGTACACCGACTCGTGAAGGGCAGCGAGTTCTTCATACTCCGCACCTTCCACCTGGCCAGAGAAAAGAGGTGGGCGTTTTAGTCCTCCATGCAGACACCAGGCCTCCCACAGCGGCGACCTCTGACAGCTAAGTGGACTTGGGACATTTACTCCTTCACTAATTCCACAAAGTGACATGTTTATTATTATTATTATTATTATTTTTTGAGACAGGGGTTCTCTGTATTGCTTTGGAGGGTGTTCTAG